GGCGTCTTGAAGCTGTCATTGACAACAAAGCCTTTTGTACAAAGTATTAGATAAATTTCAGTAAGCGTGTTCAATACTTTTTTTGATTTCTTTGTATGTATGGATCACTTGGGTTGTTACCAACATCTGGTGAAAATTTCATGTCATTAGCACCTCTAGTAATATATTTACTGAGAAAAATGTTGACGTGTTCAATACTTTTTTTGATTTCTTTGTATGTATGGATCACTTGGGTTGTTACCAACATCTGGTGAAAATTTCATGTCATTAGCACCTCTAGTAATATATTTACTGAGAAAAATGTTGACGTGTTCAATACTTATTTTACCTGCTGAATGAAGGGGCCAGACCTTTCAAACTTTCAAAGTAAAATCTTTAAATCTCTCCTAAAAGGAACAGGAAGCCAGAACCAACGATGTGTTCAGGTTTTTTAATATTTCAAACTTGAGATAAACTGGAGCCATAAGAAATACTGAACCGGAGCACGTGTACGTCATCTGTGAAGAGCTTAATACTGAACTTGTTAGCAAAATAAAAGCATCATCTAGTGGCTTCATTTGAGTAAAACTAAAGATGAGTCAATAAACCTTTGGATCAAGCTAAAACACAGGAAGACCACCTCCACCTGCAATAAATTTAACCTTTAAGGTGATTATTAAACAAGCTAATTTACAAACTGTTGTTTTAGTCAACATAAAGCTGAACAAACAAAATCAATAATAATAGCTGCAGTCTGCACAAATAGAAATAAAAAGTGCTAAAATAAGCGCTTGTTTAGTAAAAAATGTGTATGAAGATACATTTGGAGGCCATTACCTGGCGATATAATGAAGAAATAATAAAACAATTTAATGACGTCACGTTGGTTTTAACTGAACTCACCTGACCGCTTTCCTCCGTAAAAGTTCGTGTATTCTGTACATGTGATGTACCTGAAAACAAATTGATAAAAATAAAAAAAAGAAGCTGAAAGTATCTTATAGCTTTAGCTTACGTTAGCAAGCTAAGGTAGCTTTAAGAAGCTAAAGCAAAATAACATTTATAGTTCAAAAATAAACCTCGAAACTTACATTTTATCCTTTTGGTGCTGCCTCTTACCCATCTTTACTTATATTCTGTTGATCCCAATAAATAACTTTAGTAAAAATGTCAAACTGTCGCGACAAAACAATGAAAACAGTTTAGCTGTGTAGCTTTAGCTGGTTTCGTGTTTGTGTTCTTCTTTTGTGCCGCCTGCCCGTCTCTGCTTGGAACAGCAGCGCTCTGCCGCCTCCTACAGGAACACTGTGGTACTACAGCTGCGCTAAATCTGATTGTTTAACGCAGCGTTTCCTAAAAATCACCAGGTTAAAAAAAAAATTCATTCAACAATAAAACATGACAGTCAACTTTTATATTTATTTACAAAACTGCTGCTTAACCTTCTATTCAACCCCTGCACATCTGTAAATCTGAGTTATTTTATCAGAATTATTCCAGAAACATCATGAAAAACAGGTCAAGCAATGTCGAGCACTTTTATTTTGTAACGTTTATCTTTATATTCCTCAAATAAATTTCACTTTTTAAAACATTAACCTGTTGAAAATAAATGTTAGTGTGAATTCTCCAGCTTCTGATTCGGGAAATGACTAAAAGGATTTTACAACTAATTTTTCACTACCTTGCGCGTGTTTAACCTGCTCTAGCTCAGAAACTACAACACCTACACTCTTCAAATCTGGACTAGATTATTCTACATTAATAGAAGAATATTTAAAAACACGTTTGGGATTTGGGAAACCTTTGTCTGATTTGTGAAAAATCAATAAAGTTTGTTTTTCATCGTTTTTATGCAACTGGACCACATTAGACCTGGTCCAGCTCAAAAACCACAACACCTGGACTCTACAAATCAAGACTAGATTATTCTACACTAATAGAAGAATAATAAAAACTAAGTTTGAGCTTTGGGAAACCTTTGTCTGATTTGTGAAACATCAACAAATTTCCACTATTAGTGTAGAATAATCTAGTCCTGGTTTGAAGAGTCCAGGTGTTGTGGTTTTTGAGCTGGACCATATCTAATGTGGTCCAGCTCAAAAACCACAACACCTGGACTCTTCAAACCTGGACTAGATTATTCTACACTAATAGAAGAATAATAAAAACTAAGTTTGAGCTTTGGGAAACCTTTGTCTGATTTGTGAAAAATCAACAAAGTTCCACTATTAGTGTAGAGTAATCTAGTCCTGGTTTGAAGAGTCCAGGTGTTGTGGTTTTTGGGCTGGACCAGGCCTAGTGTGGTCCAGTTGCCTATAAAATGATGAAAAACAAAATTAGTTGATGTTTCACAAATCAGACAAAGGTTTCCCAAATCCCAAACGTGTTTTTAAATATTCTTCTATTAGTGTAGAATAATCTAGTCCAGATTTGAAGAGTGTAGGTGTTGTGGTTTTTGAGCTAGAGCAGGTTAAACACAAACAAGGTAGTGAAAAATTAGTTGTAAAATCCCTTTAGTCATTTCCCGAATCGGAAGCTAACTTCAGCTTCGTGAATTCTTCTTTTTGAAGATTTATTCTTTTTTTAAGGGTCCAAACTTAGAAAATGAATTATGCTTTTTCTCTGTAGGTGCAGAAACACTTATGGGTAACGCTGAGTCAGCACATACAATATCGTTTTTCAGGCACATATTTTATTATTTCAGCCGTTTATATATCAAAACATTCAGCTCGTAAAAGAAACGGCTGCTGTGACGTTTGGCTTCTGTAACTTTTATAATTTAACATATTTAATGTTACTTAAAATATTTTTTCCCATAGAAATACATTGAGATTTTTTTATTAGCTTCAGCTTTTGACACAAGATGTGTCTTATTTAACTATTTCTAGCCAGCATGAAGCTACATTTAGCTAGTGTTTTGCTTTTATTGCTCTTCAGTTTCAGCTTCTTCACTCACGCTGCAGTTTCTCCAGGTAAAACTGCAAAATAAAACTTTTTTCACTGCAAACGATCAACAAATTTCTCCCATAAAATCGTTTTTTTTTTTACACCTCAGCAGACATCAACCCAAGTGGACAAACAGGACAAACAGCTGCAGAGTAAACTCATCTATATGTTTATTTTTTTCTTGGCATATATTTGATAGTTATGGCTAACTCTTCTACCCAGAGAGGGGAGCGAACTAAAGAAAGGCCGGGGCTGCGCTCAGGTGGTTCAGGATGACAGAAGGTACATTCAGGCTGCCTGTGTTTCCCTCACGACACAAACGCTCCGTCGTAAAACTAAAGCTGAAAGAAAAGCCTTCAGGTTGTCGATTAATGATGTAGAACAGGTGAGACGCGGGGGCGGGGCTGGACTGGGCGGCCACGGCTATGGGATAAATCTTGTGCCAACAGGAACTGAGTTTGAATTGCTCAGATTGAATCTGAATGTTCATAATTTGAAACTGAATTTAAAGTTTTGTATCTGAATTAATTTKMTTTGAAACTGTATTTTGGTTTATTAAAAACTCAGTTTGACTACTTTCACTTTCAGTTCCATAATTCAGATTTTTGTGTCACATCCTGGTCCTTGAGAAAGCC